AGTCTAGCCAAAGGGATGCCTTTGTTAATACTTATTTTACATTTAGAACACTTGACAGTCATGTAAATTGGTTCTCCATCAAAGGTTTTAACCATATAAGATATTTTAAGATTTCTTCTCTCTATCTTTTTTCAATTTTTCTTTAAGGTCTTTTAGTTTTAAAGGTGGAGTATTTATGGCATTCTTCAAAATCTTGTCGAAATCTACTTCTTGGTTCTCTTCCTTATCTAATTTTTCAGAAGTCAAATTTTGTCGAGATTGGTTTTTTTCTTTTTCTTTCATTAATCTTATAAACTCCTCTTTTGTTTTAGAAATTGAAGCTAGTGCTTCTACTGTGTAAATCTGCTTTTTTAAATGCTCTCTACCTATCTCCGGAGTTAAAGATTGGTGAAGTCTTTTGTTTTTAGGAGTTTTTTTCTTCAATGCATCTAACACACCATCAGGTAATTTTTTATAAACTAGTTCATTGGTCAAGGTGCCAAAAAATCAAGGTCTTTTAGGAGTAGGAGGTTTTTCTCAAAGTCTGTATAGTTGTTCATAAAATGGAGAATGAAAAGTCTTTTGTCATTTCAAAGTTTCCTCGGAAACATAAGCTTTTAACATTTTTTGCAATTCAAATTCATCCCTTACTTTTTGATAACCAGTTGCTTCATCAATTAGAGCATCAATACTAACTTTGGCAAGTGCCCCTAATAATATTCTGCTTTGGTCGGCAATTATTGCTTGTCTTGTAGGTAATTTTTTTCCTTGCCTCATTGCCCATTTTTCTAGTGCCAAGTAGACATTACCTACATCTACCAATGTGGTTGCTTTAAAACCATTAATCTTAACACCTTTGTCATAAAAAACGACCGGTTCAAAAGTGCGGTCGTTTTTTTCCTTATCTACAAAGGGTTTAAGAGACTTTTGACCTAAAAATTTGCTCAAATTTGTGCCCCTTTCTTTTTGTTCACCTTCCTCTACCATTTTTAGGACAACTTGAATGCTATTGCTTGCTAAAAGTCTAGTCCCATCTTCTAAATTATAACAAGGTAGTTTAAACCCTACCAAATCCAATATTCCTCTATATTTTACTATTAGTTTTTTTTCTTTCATATTCATATTAGTTGATTAATTGTTGATAGGTCAATCTTTTTCCTATACTTGATAAAAGTGCTAAATCAAATCTGTCTTTCTCTTCATACTTTCGAGTGTTATAACGAAAAGTAATCTCATCGACATATCTCTGAGCATGCTTTTTGCTTATCCAGTGATAAATCCCATAAACACTTCTCTTAAAAGGAGTCCAAGCACTTTCGATAGTATTAGTGGAAACTTTACCATTAACATATTGCTTAGCTTTGTGGTTAACTATCTCATGATTATATCATTTACCCAGGATTTCATAAGCAGGTAATTCATCACTGTAAACATTAGAACCTGCTTTGATATTACCCCTAACCATTGGCACCAAAGTGCTTTGTTGATTATTGGGAACAGCCTCAGCAATAAGGAAGCCACCTCTTTCAACTGCTCCCCAAACTGGTATCTTATCTTTACAACTTCTACCCTGTGAGTTAGGAATTTTCTTATTTCGGTGTCTATTTTTATTCTTGCCACCTATGAACATTTCATCGATTTCAACCACTCCTTTTAACATCTCTTTAATAAAACTAGGTTGGTCAAAAGTATAACGGATACGATTAAGCATAAATCAAGCAGTTTTTTGAGTAATATCAAGTTCCCTAACTAACTGATGGGAGGAAATTCCTTTTTTCTTTGAAGAAAAATCAAATAGAACTCAAAATCACTTTTGTAAGGGTATTTTGGAATTTTCGAATATTGTTCCATTTTTAACATTAAAGTATTTGTTGGTATTCTTACATTTATATCAGTTTTTTTTGCTTTTACATTTATAAACTTTGGAAGTGGGGTCAAAGGGGGAAACTACTTTGCCATTTCATCTACATTGCTCTAAATAATTAATACAATCTTGCTCGTTAGGAAGGGCTATCAATAAGTCTATTAGGCTCTTAAACTTTATCATCAGACTATTTTTTACTTTTGCTTTTCCTTAGGAGGTAAGTAATTATTACTACTAATAGAACTAAAATTACCCCTCCCCCAATTATCCAAGGTAAATATTTCTTAAAACCTCCCTCTTGCTGTTGTTTTTCCAACTCGGCTAACTCTTGTTTTTTAGCAACTAATTCGGCTTCCTCTTCGGCTGTTCTACTAGTTATAGCCTCTAATTCAGCAATTCGTTTCCGTAGTTCCTCAATCTTGTTCTCTCTCTCTCTCTCTCTCTCTCTCTCTCTCTGCTTTTACTTCGATTGATTTGTTAGGTTGTTCTTTTAATCATTCTTCTAGTTTACTGTTCCAACCTTTTGTTGACAAAACTCATCTTTCATAAACCTTTCCATCGGCTTTTTTTATTTTCATGGTTCCTTCTTCAAGATAGACTTTCTGATGACCCATACTTACCATTCACTGCTTAACCAAGTCTTCCATGGTTTTCACGGAGGCTGGGTTTTTATTTAACTCCTCGTGTTCATCAGTATCAATACTGTTTTGGCTCCAATCATGTCGATGCTCCTCAGCAGTTTTGCAGTCAAATTTCTTGCCACAATTTTTCATCGTGCATTTGGCTTGAATGTGGTCAAAGTAATGATTACAAACTCCACCTGTTCTTCAATGTTCCTCTCTTTTTACAATATCTTCCCAGTCTTGCTTATATTGCTCTTGATTTTTTTCTCAGCAGTTTAAACAAACCTTTTTATTATCGTTTTCCTTACTAAGAAAGTAGTATTGATACTCAGTGCTTTCGTTAACTACTTGATTAACGATTAAGGATTTACCACAATCCTGACAGTTATTTATTTCTTTTGTCATGTCTTTTATACTTTTTGTTTTGAAATTATTCTTATTTCTCCTTTGTTCTTGTAAAAAAGAACATCAAAGTCATTAAAATCAACTAGTGCAATCTCTTTACAATCATTGAGTATGTTAGCTTCTGTGAAGTTCCGTGAACTAATTATTATACCTTTCTTTTTGACTTTTTGACTTTCCAAAATATTTGTTTGAGTAAACCAATGTTAGTTTTTACCATATGTTTATTATTTTAGCACAAAAAGCTCTTAGTGCTGTCAATAAATAAAGTAAAGAGGTTAAATTCGGTTGGCCGTTAGGTAAGCAGAAAGCAATTTCCTTTTATCTCTACCGATTTTCTCTCGGTAAGAAGAACCTTCGGGACTGGTTCACAAAAAACGAAGGCATCCCGGGCAAATCATATCCTTAGTTTTCTCACCAATTCAATATTCCAAGTTGTAAAGTTTGCTATGACTACGAGTGGCATTATTTCATTTTATCCAAAAGTCCTTAGAGCAATAAAAGCATTTTTCTTTAACAGGTAGTCCTTTTGTGCTTCCAGAACGACAAATAATCTCTGTCAGTAGTTCCTCATCTGTAAATTTTTTTAGTTCTTTATTTTTTACTCTTTTTGTTCTCATAGTTAGTTAGTGTAAAGTTGTATGTTAGTCCC